GGACTCTCACTGTGAAGCTAATGAAGGATGGTGAGCCTTTCCTTTTGTAAAAATAGCTTGGAGTTTTACTGCAACTCTTGGCTCTGCTTCAGGTTAGAGCCATTGGTACAGCGAATTAGTGAGAAGCGCAGTGCTATCATCTGTCCAACCATTGATCATATAGCGGCAGAAACGATGCAGTATCATGGAGATCCTTATGCCTCGTCTGTTGGAGGTTACTATCCAACATCCTTGCTCTCTGTAGGGTTGATCTTTGTGCATTATTAAGGTTTCTCTTGGGCTCTACATTTCACTTGGGAGCAGATGCCGGAAAGGGAGAAAAATCGAAGAAAAAGCCCTATTGAATCCATAAGGTTTGTTGTTATGTGTTCATCTAATTTCCTTCAATCTCTGGAACTAAATTCATTACATTTGTGTTTATACATTTGTGTTCACATTGAAATTGATCATATCTTTTGCCTACCGTCCATTGCGATTTTGAATGATAAATTCATTTCAGTTGTAAGCTAACAAATTTGGCGCAAAGAATGGGCCCAAGCCACGCTCACTTTTAGCCAAAGATGTTTAGAAATAAATTCATTAATTGTCAGAATTCTTGCTAATTCAAATAAAAGCAAGTAAAATTCATTTTTATACATTATTTAATTTATTTCACTCCTTATTTTGCTGTTTCTAAAGGATCCGCCACTTATAAGTAAAGGTTTTTCTCAATCTCTGCTTTTTCCTTTTCCGCAAAATTAGATATTCTAAAGTTGTCATAATTCATGTTTATTGCTGCAAGCGGGAGATTTCTGTCTCCAGGTCTCCTACTATGGCAGGTGGTCTGCTAGCTGCCAATCGTGAGTATTTCTTTGAAGTTGGTGCCTATGACGATGAAATGGATATCTGGGGAGGAGAGAATTTGGAAATTTCGTTTAGGGTGAGACACGTAATTCTGTTTGATTTGTTGCCCACCATTAACCTTTTTCTTTAGGTATGGATGTGTGGTGGATCCATAGAGTTCATTCCATGTTCGCATGTGGGACATATATTCAGAGCTGGACACCCGTACAATATGACAGGTTATAGAACTTCCATATATATGCCTATCCTACTTTAAAAGTTTGAAGCTGGCTTTATAGGGCGTGGAGGAAACAAAGACGTACATGGTACGAACTCCAAAAGGCTAGCTGAGGTGTGGATGGATGATTACAAACGACTCTATTACCTTCACCGGCATGACCTCAAGGTGAAATTGAGGGTTTAATACCTGGTGAAATTCTTAATTTTGCATTTTCGGCTTTAGAATACTGACGTTGGGGACCTCACAGCGCGCAAAGAATTACGTAAACGCCTCGGATGTAAGCCCTTTAAGTGGTACCTCGATAACATCATTCCTGGTAAATTCATTCCGGATGAAGATGTTCAAGCGTATGGTGTTGTAAGTTTTTTTCCAGCTGATTCTGCTATCCACTATAACACGGAAAATTAGCGAGCATTAAAGGCAGAAATTAGAGAGTAGCTTTTTGGCCGAATTTTTTTGCATTTTTTTTCTCGGTACATAGTCGCATTATGTCGTTTTGGGTAAGTATATTGCAAGTTGTGTTTTAGCTGTTTACCACTGTAGGAGGTTCTCGTATGTGCTCAGACACGCTACAACGAGACGAACACTCAGTACATATGCTTGGCGTTTTTCCATGCCAAGGAAAAGGTAGTCCACCCCAGGTAAATGGCTTCTAGTTTTCAATCGTCTAATGAGCTGTTAGAAATTCTTTTCCGTAGTTGATGTCGCTTTCGAATGCTGGCCACTTACGGAGGGAAACGAACTGCGCTGAAGTCAAACTTGCGGAAAATCTGCGCCGAGGCAATGTAATGATGTATCCTTGTAATGAAAGGAGCTCAATATGGTTGTACGAGGTGAGTACAAAGAGGTTGGCTGGGTTCATATATTCACTAATTATCTACTGAAACTCGCCCATATTGTATCACTCACAATGAAAATAGCGGAAAAAATGTGAAGGAGGTAAACAAAACTTTCAACTTAATACCTGGAGGAGCTCAATAGTATAATGTATGTAGATTTTGCG